CCAGTTCTTTCTCCCTGGGTATGTCCCTATCATATCCTGGTTCTCTATCATCACGGTACTTTCTTTCGGATGAACCAGACCACTCTCTTTCTGAAGCTCTATCTTTTTCTTTAGCTGGGTTTTGCCAACCTCCTCTGTCATGACTAACCTCGCCATATTGATGGTCAGATGCAGCTTCCTCCCCGTAACTCGACTCTCCAGCTCTCCCACCACCATGCTCATCACCACCCCATCCTCCGATGGTAGGATCCGACCACATACCCATATTAGGCCCATCAACACCACTTGAGGGCATCATCCCCATACCATTCATGGGCATACCTCTTCCAAAGAACGCAGGGTTAACATGAGGAGCCACTCCAGGCAAACCAACTCCTCCAACCGGAGGGAATGAAGGTAAAATCCCTGAAAACGGAGGTGCTGGAGCTCCGGGAAAGCCTCCATAACTTCCCATTCTTCCCATCGGTCCACCAAAAGCAGGATCAAAACCTTGACCCATCATCGACTGAGGGTGCATGAGAGGAGGTGCCCCACCCATAACCTGCCCGAATCCATTTCCACCATTTCCCATCATACCTCTGCCACCCATTCCACCAGCCCTGTTCCTCATAGGACCACCTGGCCCTCTACCTCTCATCCCCTGAGCATTGACTCTTCCCCAATTCGCTCTCCCATAACCTCTATTATTCTCTGCACCTTGATAATTCCCACCAGCTTGAATATTACTGGAACCAGTCTTAGCCCCCACATCATTAGGACCCCTCCTTGCTTGAGCAGACTGTGCCATCTGCTGATTCCTATTTAACTGAGCCTCTCCCATTTTCTTAACAGTAAACGGGGATGCAAAGGCAACAACACAAGGCCTTCCATTAAACAAGTGCCCATTCATTCCCTCCTTACAAGCAGTAGCTGCGGCTGGATCATAAAACTCAACCTGGCAATACCCTTTTGACTTCCCACTTGCTTTCTCATCGAAAAACTTTACTTCCTTAACGGGTCCATACTTGCACAACTCAGACTCCAATTCAGCATCTGTAGTCCACCAATGCAAATCACCAACAAACAATATTGTCCCACCACCTCCACCTGCACCACCAGTTGCTCCAACTCCACGGTCAACAACAGCACTAGAAACACCCATATTTGCACCTCCATTCCCAATCATATGACCAGGGCCATTCACACCTGCACCTCCTACTACTCCTTGTCTCACCAAACCCTCATTCTCAACACTCCCCACATTCCCTACACCATATCCCTGATGTCCCATACCACCTACACTACTTAAACCACTATTCTTATTCCCACTCTGCTCCGCAGACACCTCATTCAACTTATTCGGCGTCTGAGCTAATTCAACCCTAAGCCCACCACCACCACCACCAAAGCCTGGACTAGGTCCTTTGTCATCATCACCACCATCACCACCTCCTCTAAACCCTTGACTCTCATAAGAAACCCTAGAATCCCCTCTTTCACCACCACCTGCATCCCCGGGAATTGAAACACCAGATTCTGGAGCACCTACTGGTGATCCATCAACTTTCCCACCACTATTAATATTCGAACTATTCTTAGGTTCTTCATTTCTAAACCCTACACCATCGTTTCTTCTCAAAGATTGAAGAAACCCTTCGCCAACATTAACATCATTGTAAAGGTCTTCATAATCATCGTCTTCTTCACCTAAAAAACTCTCGTCAGCAACAGCCGAGATTGCTTCGTTTCTATGGAACTGATCCATGTGATCCCCTCCTTTTCCTTCATCCATTTCCCCCCTCAAAGATTCCAAAATACAAAAAATGATCCTAAACTAATTTCAAAGCTTCGAGGTTTTTAGGCTTCCTGGAAATAAAAAAATTATAAAAAAAACTACATTTAACAAAATGTAAACTGAAATTAACTGGAACTAGAAAACGAATTCGTGGATTAAACCTTACCAAGGAGATTAAGTGAGATACGAGGAGAGAAACGAGAGAGAAATCCGCAAACCCTAATCCGAAAGCTCATGGGATTCTTTTTTCTTCTGGGAGTTTAACGAGCGCCGCAGTGAAAAAAGCGTAAAACACGAGGAAAACAGTTCTGAAGGTTCATCCCTGACTAAGAAAGCAATGGATTTGATTAGATATCAAAGAATATAAACTCACCACGAGATAAAGAGAGGAAGATAGTGAGTGCTGAGAGCTTAAAACGCACATCCAACAACAGCAACAATAAAAAGGCCCAAACTTTGAGAAATTTTAACACACCTTTCAGGAAGCAATAGTATTTTGCGAATGCAAGAAGTTTCTGTTTGTTTTGCTGGTAAACGGCGTCGAAGCTGGAAGATGATATGAGATTAATCTTTTTTTTCTTTTGGGAAAAGAGAAAACGGGGCTCCTTCTCCATTTGACGGGCTTTTACAGTCAAAAAATATTTCTATTTGGGTTCTAAAGTCCATTACCGGCTTCTGTTCTCACCACCAAATGTCTTAAAATAATGGATTAAAATAACCTTACAATTAAGTGATTCCATCGATCTAGTCTTTACAAAAATTAACTTTCGAATAATAAATATTTAATCGATTAATTAAATTATTCATCTTTATTTCTATATTTTTTTAAATTATGACTTTTGACTCATTAAGAGCACTCATTTTCTTTTTCTTAGAATCTCTCTTCCTCTCATTTCTAAGTAAAATCAGAATTAAATTTAAAATTTATCAATAAATTGAATCGTGAATTTTATTAAATGATTCAATAATAAAATATAGTGCCTTTTTTTAAAAAAATTAAATTCAAATAATTATATTTATAATATATATTATTAATAATTAAAAAAGATTATAAATATATTCTATCATGTAATTCGCATAAACTATTACAAAAATAAAACCCACGAGTAACTAAACAACTTAACAATAGTTTAATTTGAGGTTTCGGTTAAATAATTTCAGGGAACCATTCCTTACCCAAATGAATTCAATTTTTTCATCACCCTGTTTGAGCCAATTTATTTTTGTTGCTCTCCGGATTTCAAGATTTCATCTTAGTTAATTCGAATCGACTCGCGTCGCACATTTAGTTTTTGTGGATGAATCTCTCGGCAGGAATTTTTTGCATACGCTAAGACTCAAACTCGAGATTTTACTTAAACGATATCAAGTTGCTTACCACGTGAACTAATATTTGAGCCAATTTTAACATGATTTTATAATACACTTTTATTGACATAACCACCTTTTTAATCTTTATATTTTTGGATAAAATACACAAATGGTCCTCTGACTATATGATATTATTTTTTAAGTCATCTAACTATTAAAAGTTATAAAATGATCTCCCAACTAGAGGGTATTACTTAGTTGAGTCTCTCAACTATTAAAAGTTACAAAATGGTCACCCAACTATTCATTATGTTTCAAACTCGTCTTTTTTCGTTAAAAAAATTGACGATAGTCTAAGCTGGACATTAACATGCTGACTAAGATATGAGAAAATCTAATCTCATAATACGTCCAACTCAAATAACCGTTAATTTTTTTAATGAAAAAGGATGAATTGGAAACATAATGAATAGTTGAGTGACCATTTGTAACTTTTAATAGTCGATGGACTCAACAAAACAACGACCTATAGTTGGAGGACCATTTTGAAACTTTTAATAGTCCAATGACTTAATAAAGCAATATCTTATAGTCAGGGACCATTTATGTACTTCACCCATTTTTTTAGTTTGATTATTTTAGACTATAAAATTTTACTGTATTATTTTTATTTTAAAACTTTAATTTCTTGTTAAATCGACCCAAATACAATAGAATAATAATATGGTTTTAATCTTATTAAAATGTTGATGTCAATTATTTTCTTTCTTTTTCGTTACATCATTAAAAAATTAAAATGTATTAAAAAGTTGATATCAGTATTTTAATGAGGATAAATTAATTATTTAAAAGATAAAATATCGTTATTATTTTATTACATTTGAATTGATTTGACAAAAATATAAAATATTTTTTAGAGTAAAAAACGTAATACAAGTTTAAGTGATAAAATGACTAAACTAGTATAGTTTTTTTTGACAATAAGTCGTTTGTGGCCTTTATTACAACATATTAAAAATAAAAGCAAAACGAACAATCAGTTGGTCTAGTAGAATGAGGTATTAGGTCCTTAAGTAAAATTAGGAGTTCGAATCCTAACATTTATGAATAGAGCAAACTGGGTTGAGAGGGTCGTCATCGTCTATGTAGTACTCGATTTGGATCCCTCCGATGCCATTGCATGAGCTACCCCGTTACCATTTCTTCCTATGAAGACGAACAAACACTAGATAAGAGTTCTTGCTGTGCTCTTGATATCCCTAATGATAGGACCCATATCAGATAGATCAATTGTGCTCTCGTTTAATTTCTGCATGGTCTTCTTGGAGTCACTAATGTTATTCTTGTGAATCCGATGTCCTTTGCAAACTGAACGCCTTAGAGAATTGTCGTAGCTTCCGCCATAAAAACAGAGGTGATGCGGGCGTTGTGAATAAATCCAGATCCTAGAATAAACCCTGCACTATCTCTGGTTATGAATCCCGAGCAAGACTTCTTGTAAGTATATGAGAAACAAGCATCAACGTTCACTTTAATTGGAGACTCGTGAGGAGGTTTCCAGGAGGTCAGTACATGAGTGTGAGGATGAAACATAAATTGCTTGCATCATTTGACCACCGAATATCAAGTAAACTCCAGATTTTCCTCGCATAAGGACAATCCCTGCTCACATGAGTGTTGTCTTCGATTGTCAAATTACATCTAGGACAGATATTGCTGGTACTAACTCGCTTAATAAAAAAGATTTTGCATTGTAGGGATATTGTTCCTTGTAAATTTCCACAGCAAATTCTTCGTCTTGTTCTGACACGGTAATTTCCAAATGGAATTAAAAACATTATCAGTATCATCATAATCACTATTGCAACTGATTAATAGTTTATAACCGCTTCGAACAGTGTAATTCCCAGACCCTTCACCTTTCCAACAGAGAATATCTTCTTGGTTGAAAATTGGCAGTAATGTTTAAAATAGATTTTGCATCTTCATCATTAAAGACAGAATTGATAAGATCACGATTCCAATTCCGTCCATCAATAGAGATGATGTCTGAGACCAATTCCACTTGTGTCGAGGGCGTTGATGTTACTTTGCGAGTTGAAAATCCTGGAAGCCAAAAATCATTCCATATCGAGACAGACAGACCCGTCCCGATTCTCCAACCCATTCCGTTTTCAAGAAGGCCCCTAGACCTCCAAACACTGCGCCAAATGAGAGATGGAGAAAACCCCAAATTTGCCTCCATAAACATCGAGTTAGGGAAGTATTTAGCTTTAAGAAGCCTAGCAACAAGGGAGTGAGGATTAATAACAATGCGCCAGCCTTGTTTAGCAAGTAGTGCAATATTAAGCTTGCCAAAATCTCGGAATTTCATGCCTCCGTCTTTCTTTAATTAGCACAACTCTGCCCAACTACACCAGTGGGTACTCCTTTTGTTAGCTGACTTTTGCCACCAGTATCGTGCTGAAATTGCTTCTAGTTCTTTGCACAAACTGATAGGGAGTAAAAAACAGGACATCGCATATAAAGGAATGGATTCAAGTTCTTTACCACCCATAAGAAGGAGTCGAAAACTCCACCCTTGGACTCCATTTTGAAATTTCTCCTTGAGTTTAATGAAAGCTCTCCGTTTGTTTCTCCCCCACAATGGAAGGAAGACCGAGATATTGACAAACATCATATTTGGCTTCTCGGTAACACTAGTACTAAAAAGGCACTAGATTTTTCAAAGTTGATGAGTGGTCCCGAACAAGCTGAATACAAGTCCAAAATCGATTTTAAGCTCAATGCCCCCTCTCTTGAGGCCTCGCCAAAAATTAAACTATCATCTGCGGAAAAGAGATGCGTTATAAGAGGTGCGCTTCTTGTTAGGCGGACTCCTCTAAGATTGCCATTAGTGGAAGCAGATCCAAGAAGGAAGATAATCCTTCACTGCAAATAAGAAAAAGATAGGGGCTCAGCGGATCCCCTTGACGAAGACCTCTAGAAGGCTGAAAATTTTCACTCACTTGACCGTTTATCACCACCGAATAAGAGACTGAAGAGACACAGTTTATGATCCAGGAAATCCAAGTGTCCGAAAAGCCCATATTCCGCATAAGCTGTTCTAAAAAATTCCACTCCACACTGGTCATACGCTTTGCTCATCTTTTTTTTAGAGAATGTAGAGCTTCATAGGCCGAAATTACATTATCCGTAATTAATCTTCCAAGAATAAAAACACTCTGCGCCTCATCAATACAAAGGTGGAGTGTGGATTGGAGTCCGTAAATATTTTTGATATAATCTTAAAGATAACATTGCAGAGGCTTATTGGTCGGAACTGAGACATATGCCTTGGGTCGTTCACCTTTGGAATGAGGACTGTGTGCGTGAGATTGATGATCAAAATAGGGAAGTCACCATTAATAGTTGCTATGCAGTCGGGGGCGTGGCTAAGCATGCGCAAAGTGTAAAACGGCTCAGGACCTAAAAAAAATAGAGGTCTCAAAATAGAGTATATCTATCAGGTGTTGCTATTAAGAAGTAGAAAAATATTTATAGAATATTGGTTAGATCAGTTCGAATCTCGTTAACAAGCAAAATTATTTTTGGGAAAAACAAGTTCAAATTTACACAGTGACCCCATAATAGAGTATATCTATCGATTTTTTAAGTTAATGAAATTAGTTATTTATTATTTCAAAAAAATAAGTTCGAGATCTAGAAGCTCCTTTACAAGAATTTACACAGGACCTCCAACAACCTAGCCACGGCCATGTTTGCAGAAACCAGAGACATCCTTACTAATGATGTGCCAAATTTTTTTATAAAAAATTGCACCGAGCCCGTCCTCACCAGAGGCTTTCAAAGGATTCATTGAGCGAATAGCTGCTCATACTTCTTCATGTGAAAAATTACAACATAATGATTCGTTTAAAGAGGGTGATTGATGCCATTTAATATTCTGTTGGATCCATAGTTCCCACAGTAGTGAACAAATTAGAGAAATAACTAAACTTATATAGTTAAAAGGTTAGGAAGATAATTCTATTTATTTATCCGTCTTTATATTTATAAATGGTATCTAATTTATTGGTTAACTAATTTAAATCGTGTTGTAGTATATTAAGTACTCTCAATCATTTAATAATTTAAATAATATTTATGTATTATTATAGATTTTGTACTCAAAACCTAAAATCTCAAGAGAAAATAATTATCGTTTAACCATTATAATCATTTAGCTAATGCATTAACGTCGTACTTATATTTTTAAAAAAATGCGGGTAACTTGGACAAACTTGAAGAACAATGGTGAAAAAAACAAAAAGGCAGGGCATACACAATTTGATTTTTCATTGGCACAACGCAAACCTCGCGATTTGTTCTTTCATAATCTATCATCTCCATTTACCTCCCTTCTTCTTCTTCCTTTCAATCGTCAATACACATTAACCCTAAAAAAATCTCATTACCATAGACATTACAGCTTAGCACGTACATGTTCTTGCTTCCTTACCTCTTTTAAACCAACAACTCTTTTGTCTCGGTCTCGTTAACGGTTTTTTTAATATTTTGTTTCTGTTTTTACTCTCGTCCCCTCCCTCATAGTCGTCGTCGTCACCATCACCACTATCATCATCGGGACCTTGTTATACGATGGCTTGTGGCCATTGGTTTGAGCAATGGGGGGAGGTCATCACAGGCCAACTAGGGCTTTTAATGCCTCCTCCCTTTTGTTCTGCCTTGTTTTGTTGAACTTTGGAGAAAGGTTTGTTTCGGCCAAACGTGTCCTTGGCCGTTCCGATCCTCCTGTGATGGCCCCCGCGGTTCCTCCTGCGATGACCCCGCGGTTCTTCCTGCGATGGCCCCCACGGTTCCTCCGGTTGCTTCTTCTTCATCGCCGAGTTCGTTTAAGCCTTCGGATAGCTATCTTATAAACTGCGGTGCTTCAAGCGAGGTGAAGCTCGACAAAGGGCGGGTATTCAAGCCGGACACTCAAAAGGGTAGCTACTTATCGACTAATGAAGATGTTTCAACGACGACTGATTCGATCCCGGTGAGTGCCTTCACGAATTCCACCCCTCCGTCGTTAATGGATCTTTTATAAAGCAGCGAGGATCTTCACTTCGGTTCGACATATTCGTTCTTCATCTACGAGCCCGGGAACATTAGGTTCGTCTCTACTTTTACCCACTTCATCACGAGAAATATGATCTCAAGAAGGATATTTCACCGTTCAAATGGATAAGTGCGCCCTCTTACATGATTTCTCCATGAATGATTCCAAGGTGGTTCTCAGGGAGTATCTTGTTAATGCTACTCAACATATCTCCATCATTTTCAAGCCCCAGAAGGATTCTTTCGCATTCATTAATGCATTGGAGATTGTAGGAATCCACGGTGAAGTTCTCTCTGATTCGGCCTCATCAGTACCTCAAGGTAACGCCATTAAAGGCTTATCGGATATTGCTTTGGAAGTCTTGTATTGGTTGAATATCGGAGGTTCGATGATAACTCCGAAAAATGATACATTAGCTCGAACATGGGCTCCGAGTGGACCATACAACATATTTCCCGAAGGAACTGAGGTTGTCAGGGGTAGAAACATCAAATACAGACCGGATCGTAATATGACTCGATTGGTCGCACCAGATATGGTTTATGCGATGGTAGCTCGGATGACGACGGCCACATATGCTCATACCATATGGTCGAATTTCAATCTCTCTCGGGCAATGAGGGTCGACCGAACCTTTTCGTATTTCATCAGGATGCACTTTTGCGACATTGTAAGCAGGGCCAAAAATGAATTACACTTCAATGTGTATATAAACGAGTTAAGGGGGATTTCGGGTCTTGATTTAAGTGAGAAAGCTGGCGATTTGGCCACTGCATATTACACAGATCTCGTGCTGAATGCGTCGTCGATAAAGAAAATTCGATCATGGTTCAAGTAAGTCTGATCACAAGCGCTGGTAGCGGTACACCAAATGCAATCCTCAATGGCTTGGAAGTGATGAAGATGAGCAACATAGACGATAGCTTGGATGGTTTATATTCCATTGATGGTTCATATAAAGGGACCAAATTTAGCACACTTGAAGTCTTGGCGGTATCGGGGCTGGCGATGGTGGTTGTGGCAATGTTGTTCCTCGGCGTCGTTTGTGTTCGGTGGAAGAAACGTTCCCAAGATTGGCAAAAGAGGAAAAGCTTCTCGTCGTGGCTTTTACCAATCCAAAGAAGTAAAGTTAATTACAGCTCGAGAAAATCAAGCGTCTTGGGTCTAGGCTTTCAAGTGTTCATGGAAAGTGCTTCACTCTACTTGAGTTACGAAACGCAACGCAAAATTTCAACCAGAAGGCGGTCATTGGAGTTGGTGGATTCGGGAAGTGTTCATCGGGACATTAGATGTTGGCACCAAGGTCGTAATAAAAGGAGGCAACCATGGATCCGAACAAGGCGTAAATGAGTTCGTAACCGAAATCCATATGCTTTCTATGTTTCGGCACCTGCATCTCATGTCACTAATAGGGTTTTGCGATGAGGACTCAGAGATTATCGTGGTTTATGAATACATGGCTTATGGCCCGCTTCGGGACCATCTTTGCAGTGCCACGAATAAATCAACATCATGAAACAACGGCTTGAGATCTGCATCGGTGCGGCTCGAGGGTTGCATTACCTCCACACCGGTGCGACACAAGGAATCATCCAGTGTGATGTTAAGACCACTGACATTCTTCTAGATGATAACTTCATTGTCAAAGTGTCTGATTTCGGGCTTTCGAAGCGGCTGCGATAGACCAAGGCCATGTTAGTACTGCAGTGAAAGGTAGCTTCGGGTATCTCGACCCTGAATATTTCAGAAGACAACAACTTACCGAGAAATCCGATGTTTACTCTTTTGGTGTGGTTCTTTTCGAAGTTTTATGCGCAAGGGCAATTATATGCCCGGGGCTGCCGAGGGATCAAGTTAGCTTGTCCGATTGGGCAATGCAGTGGCATAAAAAGGGTTTGATCGAGAAAATTGTCGACTACAAAATCGCAAGGACAATCTGCGAAGGATCGTTGAAAAAATTCTCGGAAACGGCAGAGAAATCTTGGCCGAATACGGAGTCGATCGACCAAGCATGGGGATGTATTGTGGAACTTGGAACATGCATTGCAACTCCAAGTGGCTTCCAATCAATCGGAAGATAAGACTAACATTATTGGTTTGGAAACCGGAAACAGAGAGTCCAATCCCAACCCCGCGGCCGCGGTGGCCGTCACAGCCGAAAGTGATGATTCTAACGTAACAATTGGTTCTCAAGTACCTATCCAAGCAAGGTAATACAACAAAAATCAAATTAGAGTTCAATCAAAAGGTGTGGAGAATTTTAAACCCATCTTTCTAGATTTGCTTTGTAGATCGTGTTTGTACAGATCATATTTCTAGGGAGATTTGGCTTCGATAATGGTTGTATATATAGGTGTAAATTTGTGTTATGTTGGTATCTAGTTTTTTTTTTTATTATAATTATATTTAAAATATTTTATAATTATTGTTGCACTAATTTTATGTAATTATAAATTTATTTCATATTCGTGGTTATATAATGTTTAACTGCGACATATTCATAATCTTTTTAAGATGGATACATATATATTAATCACATAATTTTTATGTGGTTAAACATAATAAAATTTTACGATTGGTACAATCAATAAAATAATTAATTAATTAATTAATTTTTTAATTTTTTAGAAAAAGAAATTTAAATTTTAGTATAAACTAGTAATAACATGAATCCTATTGGTTTATATTCAAATCCAAAAATGAAAAAATTGTCTAAAAATTAAAGAAATTTAAATTTTAGTAATAAACACGTAATAACAATTCCTTTTTATAATGAGTTTACAATTCCAAAAATGAAAAAATAAAAAGAAGAAGAAAGAAGTCTCTAAAAAGAAAAGTACTTATTGTATTTACTTTATAATTTTAATGAAATAATTAAATTAAAGATTTATATTCTAAAAATTTGTTTCCATTTGGGTTTTGGACGTTAAGGCCCTTGCCTTTCCCTTCAATTTATACCTGTAGACTGGGCTCACAACTCTAATAAGAAACAGAAAAACGAAAGAGTCAACACGAGTATTCCATGGATGAAATGAAGAATCAACGATGAAATATAAAGATTCTTCTTTCCTCAGTGTTCTTGCTTTTTTTTCTTCGCTGAAAATACATTACTGAACAATGAGCTTCAAATCCCGTGAAGACGAAGCTTAATAACTCAATGTTGTTTTCAGTTCCTTTTGTAGAATTCAAGTTTGATACTACACACACAACCTGTTTGATAAATTTCCTCAGAAACCATGCCTTTCTTGATTCCCCCAGTTCGGCACCGCTTTTTGACGCAAATTATCAATATCCAAAAACCCAAAAATATTTTACACTCTCTATATTCATCATCGACAACATCACCGGAAGTGGAGGAGCTCTGTAAGGTTGTTTCGAGCTCCATTGGTGGTTTGGATGACCTGGAATCGAGTTTAAACGGGCTTAGGCTTTCTTTATCATCTTCACTTGTTAACGAGGTTATAAAGCATTGCGAAAATGTAGCTCCCAGTAGAAGGTTGTTGAGATTTTTCTTGTGGTCAGTTAAGAATTTTAGTTTGGAAGATAAGGACTTCAACCATGCGGTTCGAGTGTTTGCAAAGAAGAAGGATCATACGGCTATGGAGATATTGGTTTCGGATCTCAGGAATGAGGGGCGACCAATGGAGAGCCAGACTTTCAGTGTTGTGGCTGATATGTTGGTTAAATTAGGGAGAGAAGATGAAGCGTTGGGTATTTTTAAGAACTTGGAAAAGTTCAATTGTACCCGAGACAGTTTCAGTGTGACTGCCATTGTTAATGCTTTATGTGCTAAAGGCCATGCGAAGAAAGCTGAAGGTGTAGTTTATCATCACAAAGACAAGATTGCTGGTGTCGAGCCTTGTATATATAGGAGTCTCCTTTTTGGTTGGTGCGTTCAAGAGAATGTAAAGGAAGCTCGCAGAGTTATCAAGGAGATGAAATCAGCCGGCATTGAGCTCGATTCGTATTGCTACAACACGTTCATTAGGTGCCTTTGTGGCGCGAACGTTAAACGCAACCCTTCTGGCCTTGTTCCCGAAACACTGAACGTGATGATGGAAATGAGATCCCATAGAATCGCCCCAACATCAGTCAGTTACAACATATTGCTTTCTTCCTTGGGGAAGACAAGAAGAGTGAAAGAATCATGTCGGATTCTAGACTTGATGCAGAAAACCGGTTGTGCTCCCGATTGGATCACCTATTATCTCGTGGTTAGAGTCTTGTACTTGACTGGAAGATTCGGCAAGGGTAACATGATAGTCGATGAGATGATTGAATCAGGGTTGACCCCTGATTGTAATTTCTACTACGATCTCATTGGTGTTCTTTGCGGAGTCGAGAGAGTGAATTTTGCAGTCGAGTTGTTCGAGAAGATGAAGAGGAGTTCGCTGGGCGGACACGGACCAGTTTATGACGTGCTTATACCGAAACTATGCAGGGGAGGCGAGTTCGAAAAGGGTCGAGAGCTATGGGATGAGGCCGTTGCTTCTGGTGTTGGTGTTACATTCTCGAGTGATGTTTTGCACCCTTCGGTCACTGAAGTTTTCAAGCCAACAAGGGAGGTGAAGGAGTTTAATCTTAAGGAGTGTAAAATGGCTAAGAATTCAGTGAATATGAAGCAGAATAATTTCAAGGGAAAGAAGGGTAAGAAAATAAAATCTAATAAGAAGAAATATGTTTCTAAATAAATGGTCTAGGTTAACGTCTTTGCTCATTTTTAATTTGTTTTTTTTTTTATTTTAAAATATTTAATGTTATAATTAGAAATGCTGTACCTGAATTATATGATGATATGTGATATGTTCTCTGGTATTGTTCATCCAAATCATATTAAAAATTGCACATGTGATTTTCATAAAGAATGGTGAAAAGTCCTTTGGGGTCCTCTTAATTTCAAGATTAGGTAAAATGATCTTTCTTATAAAGAAGAGTGATTTAATTTTGTTAACTTTTTTTAATAGTCTAATGTGATTATAAGTTAGTATTTGTGCATAATCTTTTTTAGTTATTGGCAACGTATACGCCTAGTAAACACAACGATTCAAACATAAAACCCCAAGGAAGAACAACACGCAATCTTAATTGATGTAATAATATATTTATCTCTCAACATTTATATATTATACTAATCAATCTTTATTTTAAAAAAAATTAACAAATAATTTATAAATTATGACGTCGAGGGCTAAATTTTTTGAATTTTTAAAAGTTAGAATCAATTGGGCATAGAATTTTTTAAAATTATTTTTTAAGTGTATATGTTTTGATAAAATAGTATTAACACCGATCATTTTGAGTTATGTACTGCCGAATATTCATAAATTATTTTTGAATAAATATTTTTGGAAATTTACTTTTAAAACCGAAGTAAGATCAAGTTCGTGAGTATTATGCGTGTGGAAAATTAAAACACTCCCACGATTAAAAAATAAGATATATTTTATTATTTAAATGTGTAATAGTATTTTTAATTTATGAGAAATTTTTAATTTATACGTGTGAAAATAATTCTTATATTAAAAGATAGAATTATTTTAATATATAAATATTTAAATAAATAACTACTTTTTATATAATTAAAATTATATAAAATGCACGAATCAAATTATCTAAGTAATAAAAGGAATCGTTGTTATTCCTAGAGATTATGGTTAGAGTACTAACGACTGCAAGGGTAATTGAATGTTCATTGTCAAATGATAGAAAGTATTTAGAACGTATACTATTTTGATATCACTTTAACTTAATAAAAAAACTATATAAAATAAATTTAAAACCCTGGCGAAGCAGGGGAAAAGCTCTTGTACAACATTAAATATAATTTTAAAAATACTATATAAATTATTATTTTTTTGGTACATATTATATAAATTATTATAAATATTATAAAATAATTTTGGAAATTTCATTATAATATAAAAATATTACGAAAGAGGATTATGAAATCTAATTGAAGGACATGGCGCATGGAACGGGGTTTTTAGACAGACGTTGAGGTCGGATGGGGTGGGGTGAGGTGTCAATCTCCACCGCCATCACTCACGTCGCATGTCCGTGCAATTCAATTCAATACAGTTCACTGAGACTCTTCCTAACGTGCAACCCACGCTCTTTAGGTAGCGTCGGCTAGATTACAAGCCGGCCTCTATCTTAAGTTTTGGAAGATACAAGTTGGATTCAACGCGTTGAAGCTAGCTGTGTACAAAATCACTCCGCAACCATGGGCCGGAGTGTCCGGCACTATTAAATATTATTTTATTTAAAATAAAATTCAATTTAGAAAATCCTTTTATTTACTTTTTAAGCATTATTTTTATATAAATTCAAACATCATAAAATTATAAAAGTAGAACATGTTTATTTTACATACATATATTTATATCATTAATATAATAAGAATTTACCCTATTTTACCAAAAATATAAGAATGTACCCTAAGTAAAGTTGTGAGTTTAATTCATGATATTGTTAGTGAAGCAACTAAATTGGAATATTCACCTCATAATAGACCTTTACGATACCTATTCGTCGATCAATAGATTGAATATTAGTTTGATTTAAAAAATATATGATGAGAGTTAATGTTTCAATGACTAAAAAGTAAAAACTGAAAGTTAAGTGACCAAAATCAGAAGAAAATAAAACAGAAGTGACCACCACTTAGTTTACTCGTAAAATAATGGAAATGCAGAACCATGACGAGTCATTCATCAATCTGGATCAGATCTTCCCCCAATTTCCCATCTTCTTCCTTCAATCATTCCTTCCTTTCCTGTAGGGTTTTTAATTATCATCACTTTTTAACCTAAGCAAAAATTACAGTAAAAAATAACTAATAACTAAGCCGCCATGCCAATGACAATGGCTATACGTACCATTGGGAGATTTAATCATTTTTATATAATAAAGAAACTTTAATCTCTGCAGCTTAGCCAATAACCCTTATGGGTCAAGATAATTTCACTCCCCAAAAGAGATATTCTACCGGCGGAGGTGGTGGAGGTTTGCCGATAAATAACTACGATGCGACCGGTAGCGGAAGGAACTGCGCATTTCCCGGAATGTCGCGTGGGAGGCAGATGCACAAGACGTTCAACAACATGAAAATCACAATCCTTTGCGGTTTAGTTACGATCCTCGTCTTACGCGACACAATCGGCGTCGGAAATTTGGGGAGCTCAGAAGCGGAAGCCATCAACCAAAACATGATCGAAGAAACCAACCGGATCCTAGCAGAGATCCGCTCCGACTCCGACCCTACGATCCGGATGAACGAACTGAAACTGAGCTCAATCCTAACGTTACATACACTCTCGGGCCCAAAATTTCGGATTGGGATCAGCAGCGAAAGGTTTGGCTTTCTGAAAACCCTGAATTCCCTAATTTTATTAATGGGAAAGCTCGAATCTTGCTCGTCACCGGGTCACCCCCAAAACCTTGTGATAATCCTATAGGAGACCATTATTTGTTGAAAGCGATAAAGAATAAGATTGATTATTGTAGGCTTCATGGGATTGAAATTGTTTATAACATGGCTCATTTAGATAAGAAATTGGCAGGTTATTGGGCGAAGTTGCCATTGATTAGGAGGTTAATGTTGTCTCATCCTGAACTTGAGTGGATTTGGTGGATGAATAGTGATGCTTTTTTCACAGATATGGTGTTTGAGATTCCATTGTCCAAGTATGATAAATATAATTTGGTGGTTCATGGCTACCCCGATTTGATGTTCGAGCAGAAGTCGTGGATCGCGTTGAATACGGGGAGTTTTCTGTTTCGGAATTGTCAGTGATCGTTGGATTTGCTCGATGACTGGGCACCGATGGGACCTAAGGGTGCAATCTGTGACGAGGCCAGGAAGGTTTTGACTGCTAATCTGAAAGGGAGGCCGGCATTCGAAGCCGACGACCAGTCAGCTTTGATTTACTTGTTGCTTTCACAAAAGGATCAATGGATGGATAAAGTTTTCGTTGAGAATCAATATTATTTGCATGGTTATTGGGCGGGATTGGTCGATCGGTACGAGGAGATGATGGAGAAATATCATCCGGGATTGGGAGATGAGAGGTGGTCGTTTGTGACTCATTTCGTCGGCTGCAAGCCCTGTGGGAGTTATGGAGATTACTCTGTCGACAGGTGCCTGCGCAGCATGCAGAGGGCTTTCAATTTTGCTGATAACCAGGTGCTTAAGCTATACGGGTTTAGACATAGGGGATTGTTAGGCCCCAACATTAAGAGGATCAGGGATGAGACGACGACTCCATTGTAGATTGCTGATCAGTTCGACATCCGGCGTTCGGTGAATGGAAAAACCGAATTGAAGAGCTAGTAATCTAAACGGGTATCAAACATGTCATATAGGTAATGTAATTCATCAGGTGAAAAGCTATACGTTTCAACTTGTTTGGTGTAATTGTATTGAATTCAATGAGAAGTTATTGTTTTCACGTTTTATTTGTCAAGCTCTGATCAAATCATGAATAGCTCGAGTTTTTCGAGTTCTAGCACGGAATGATATTTATACGATCTCACTTTGGGATGAACATATCCTGGCTCTGGTATGCACTTGCCGATGTTTTTCGTCAGCTTTTTTATACAAGGAATAAGAGTTAAATTGATTATTTAATCAAACATGAATTTTTTTAATGAAGGCCAAAATTATTGGTATTTTTTTAATGCTCCATCCATTCCATTAAATGTATCTTTTGATTTTTAAAATTTTCACATTAAAATATCTTATTAGAAAATTTAACGACAATTATATTTCATTATTTACTCTTGTGTGTCTCACTCTTTTACACCCATTAAATTAAATCTATCAAACTTTTTAAGGATAATTTTATCGTTTCCCTTGATCAAATATATCTCTTAAAACTACGTACACAGTCAATATGAGACACAAATTTGGAATAGAAGGAGTAAATCTAGAGTAAATAAAAAGTAACATATGATCAAAAATTTTAATCATCTGACAATGAATCAATAGCTGAACCGTAGGATGGAAGGGGACATAGTCCACCTCAATTTTTATGGTTTAATTATATTTTAAGCCCTTAAATTTTTTAAACCATAAAATTATGTCCTGATACTTCCCAAAAAATTTTAGTTTAATTACTTTTTAAGACATTATCAATTTTCATTAATTCTTGTCCCTAATTTTTTCTGGTTTAATTGTTTTTAGGACAAGACAATTTTGAAATAAGTTAAATTAAGTCTCAATCCTTTATTATTATTATTTTTTGGTCTAATCATCTTTTAGAACCTTATTGTTTTAAAGATAAACAACTTGACCCTTTTCTGTAATTTCATCTTAGTTCCGCCATCGGAACGAACACTCACGTCCTGACAAAACTAGGAATAAGATTAACAAAACAAATAAACAGTACACCACTAATCATATATAAATACACATTAATATGGGGAAAGAATATTGACAATCAAATATACTCCATAGACTAAATAACTACATGGCAATCAATAGTAAACACCCATTTTTCAACCAAATTGTGGGAAAGAAATTGATTTTTTTTATCTTCAAAATACCTCCAGGATTGCCCATCAAACTTGTGAATCTTGGTCTTCGTCTTGAACAAGATGCATTCACTCGGTCAGCTCTGAAAGGTTTGAGCTTTACGACGTGCTACCAATAGCTTTACGACGTGCTACCAATACTTACTTTCATTTCAGCAACTTGGTTCAACAATCCCATAATTTTCTGCACAATGAACA